AATTGTGCGATTATTCCAGCGTGAAAATATATTAAGCACCTGATTTTGTTGAGCGCGCGCGAAATCACTAAATTACTGACGAGCGCGCGCATTCACGCAAAAGTTAGTAATTACTGCATATACTTAGCGCCCTGTTTGCGGCCGGGGTTTATTTACGTGCGCGGCGGGCGCACAATACGCGAACGTCTGACGGGGTGAGTTACGATGTTGCGCGCAGAAATGAAACATTGACAAATTGCATTGTGCACATTCGCGCGCGCGCGGGCAATTATTTGTTCGTAATTACTAGGATTATCTAAATTATTTAATCGTCCTGTGACGGACGCGCATTTCGCATGCATATAATTATCAACAACCGGTGGTACGATATCATTAAACTCGCATTGGTGTTGGCGAAATGTGAATTATTGCTGATTTTCTGTTCATTTGTCAATTTGCTTTTATTCAACAAACACTGCAACACATTCACATCCGCATCGTATTAATATTTCTAGTTTGTCCACCCTTTGGCTGATAATTTGCTCAGTATAGTTATCCTTTCATGCAGTTGAATAACTATTAGCATTTCCTCCCCTATCTCGAATGCGACATCGATGACGAACGCGTGCAGCATATCAAATCTTGCACCCTCACACACGACATGCCAAAATTCATTGCCCGGCAGGAAGCCGTCAATATGTCGATGCGCTATTTTGGGATACATCCTCACTTCGTCTTACATCATCGGTTTTGTGATTCCCGTGAGACTGAGGCAGCTAGACCTTCAAAGCAATGCACGTTCTATATAATTATTCGGACTTTGAGGGTTCATGTGTTCGGCAAGCCACAGAAGACGAATATAAACCTCGGAAGAAGCCAATGTCTCGTAAGGGTCTTCCTCCTGTCGACATATTGCGTCAATAAAAATTATGTCTCACGAAATTTCGCCTATTAGGGTTGGTAGTTGGTATTATATTGAGGGTAAGGTATTATTTGGAATCGACATTTCGCTAAGATATGGCGGTTCGCCAACGACCTCTCGAACCTTTCCTTTCCGAGTTGAGCTTTCCGTCTCTGTAAGGAAACCGGTCACAAGGGTTCGTAAATGTTAGAAATGTTACGATTATCAGCACCCCCACAAAGGCGGACCTTGCGTTGTTAATGTATCGTTTATGTAAATTGTCCATTCTGTGCTCTCAAGGAGGAGCAGAAGGTCGCATCCGAATCCGTAAC